ATATATATAAAATCTATTTTTAAATATATATGAAAAATATATTTTAAAATATATGAAATATATATTAAAATAGATATTAAAAATATATGAAACATATATGGAAAAAAAATTAAAAATATGTAAAAATACAGAAAATATATGGAGAACATATGACAATATATGGAAAAATTTAAAAAAACATGTAAAAATATAGAAAATATATGGAGACTATATTAAAAATATATGAAAAAATGAAATAGATATGAAAAATAGATATGAAAAATAAATTTTAAATGCATGGAAAATATACGAAAAATTATCTAGAAAGCTCCAAATCTTCAACCCCCAGCCTCCCCCGGGGTGGGTTTGGGGTGGGGGCAGCCCCCCCTGGCTGCTGATCCCCCTCTCCCCTCCTGCCCCCCAGCATCACCCTGCACCTGAAGATCTCGTGCCCGTCGTCTCCCGCCTTTAACTACTCCCGAAACCCCATCTGTGCCGTGCCCCAGGTGAAGATCGAGATGGAGTCGGACTACGAGGACAGCGACACGGAAAAGGCTCCGCGGGACGTGGGCAGCGAGACCACGCTATAGCCCCGGGCTACAAACGAGCGCCTCCTTCATATATATATATATATGTATATATATCTATATCTGTATCTTGATAGCGCCTCATTCATATATATATATATATATATCTTGATAGCGCCTCATTCATATATATATATATATATATCTATATCTTGAGAGCACCTCGTTCATATATATATATCTATATCTCGATAGCGCCGTGTTCATATAGATATATATATCTCGATAGCACTGTGTTCATATATATATATATCGATAGTGCTGTGTTCATATAGATATATCAATAGTGCAGTGTAAATATAGAGAGAGATATATATATCTTGATAGGACCTTGTTCATATATATATATATATCTCGATAGCACCTCGTTCACATAGATACATATATATCAATAGCGCTGTGTTCATATAGATATATATCTCTCGATAGTGCCATGTTCTCATATATATATATATATATATCTCCACAGTGCTGTGTTCATATATATATATATATATTGATAGCGCCTCATTCACATATATATATATATCTCAATAGCGCCGTGCTCATATAGATATAGATATATATATTGATAGCACCATGTTCATATAGATATACATATATATATATATTGATAGGGCCTCGTTCATATATATATATAAAGGAAATTGGGTTCATTTCTCTCTGCTGGGCGCACGAGGCCCCGGCGGTCCCGGCGCTCCGGTAGATTTTAGGGTCGCGCGCTCCGGAATTCCCTCTCCTCCCGCTGGGAGAAGGCATCGCCGCGGGCGGCGGAATGGGGCCAGAAAGGTGGGATCGGTGATTTTAGATCAGGAAAGGTGGAATCAGTGATTTTAGTGCCAGAAAGGTGGGATTGGTGATTTTGGCTCTAGAAAGATGACATTGGTGATTTTGGCCAGAAAGGTGGGATTGGTGAGTTTGGCCCCGCTCTGGCTGGAGGAGCTGCAGGTGCTTGGGGCTGTGGGAGCAGCCAGGATGTGCTGATGGAAAAGGGGGATGATCTGATGGGTGCTCTTGGGGTGGGAGGAGGTTTGTGGGGCTGAGAGGGATGGGGAGAGCACATCCCTGCTCCCAGATCCCTGGAATCCCTTGGAGAGCCCCGTCTTGGGGAGGGAATGGGGTGACTGGGGGGGTGTGGCCCAAAAGGGGCTGCTCCAAACCCTGCTGGGCATCCCGGGAGCGGCAGTGGGGCTGGAGGAACCCGGCCCTGCTGGGATGGGGAGGAGGAGGAGGAAGCACCTGGGGTGGGGAGGAGGAGGCAGATGGGATGGGGAGGAGGAGGAAGAGGTGGAGGAAGCACAGCAGGATGGGGATGAAGAGGAGGAAGCATCTGGGATGAGGATGAATAAGAGGAGGCTCCTGGGATGGGGATGAAGAGGAGACAGGGCAGGATGGGGATGAAGAAGAGGAAGCTCCTGGGATGAGGGGGAGGAGGCAGGGCAGGATGGGAATGAAGAGGAAGCTCCTGGGATGAGGAGGTGCAGCAGGATGGAGAGGAGCCAGTGCCTAGGGAGGGAAGGGAAGGAGGAGCAGCAGCTCAGGGTGAAGGGTTTTACCACCTGAGGGCAACAATGAGGAACAACCGGGCAGGGAACGGAGCCTTGGCTCCTCCAGGGAGTCAGGAATGGTTTGTGCAGGGAGTTGGGAATGGTTCCTGAGAGAGACAGGAACGGTTCCTGAGGGAGAGAGAATGGGTTTCTGACAGAATTTAAGGTGGTTTCCACAGGGAATCAGGAATGGTTCCTGAGGGAGTCAAGGAAGTGTTTCTGATGGAATCCAGGCTGGTTTCTGCAGGGAAATGGGAACAGTGGCTGCAGTGAAGTTGTTTGGTCGCCCACCCCACATCCTCACCCCTGACCTCTCCCAGCCCCAGCCCTTCTCTCCCTTGGCTGAGGGAACCCAAGGATTGTCCTGGAGGAATCCCCTGACTGGGGAAATCCCAGGATTCTCCCTTTGGACGAATTCCCTGGCTTGGGGAGTCCCAGGATTCTCCTTTTGGAGGAATTCTCTGGCTGGGGGAATCCCAGGATTCTCCTGGAGGAATTCCCTGGCTGGAGGAATCCAGGGATTCCCTCGGGGTCTGCTGCCCAGGGGCTCCACTCCCACCCCAGCCCCTGCCTCCCAGTGCTCCCAGTTCCCCCCAGCAGCATTTCGGGGTCCCCAGGAGCAGGTTGGGATCCAGGCAGGCTCTGCCATTTTTCCAGCAGTGCCGAGGCTTTAAAGGAATTTTTTCCACCCACGGCCCAGGCCCAGCCGTGGTTTAGGAACACTGCTCCCTCAAATCAAGGTTCTCATTTGTCCTGGATAAACCCCCCAGTTCTGCTCCCCCCCAGAGTCCCCAGGCCCTTCCCGTGAGCAGAACCGACCTGACACTCACACCAGCAGCACTGGGACACCAGTTCAGCACTGCAACTGGGACCAGTCAGTTCAAACTGGTCTGAACTGGGCGCAGGACAATCTCTGTAAATACTCAAACTCCACAAAGACTTCTTGGCCGTTTCCCACTCCAGCAGTTTTTGGTTCTGGCAGGTCCTGGGCACGCCTGGCACTGCCCTGGCCTGGCCCTGGCACCCAGAACTCGAGGGGTTCCCTCGTAGCTCTGTCCCCACCCTGTGCTCGCTGCAGCGTGCTCCAGCTGGGCTCTGACGTTTTCCTCCAGCAGGTTTGATTCGCTTTTCTCTGCTTGCCAGGCTTGTGGGCTCTGGAAGCTGTGCCTTAGGGCAGAGCTGAAGCCACTGCAGGCTGCTTTGGGCTCAGTTTGTTCCTTTTTGGCAAAGCTCAAACCCCTGCAGGCTGCTTTGGGCTCGGTTTGTTCCTTTTTTGGTAAAGCTCCCCCTGAGGGTTTTGGGTTTTTTTTGTACAAAGCGCAGCAGCCTCAGCTCGGCCGCCTCCAGCACGGCACCACTTGAACCATTTTGTATTTCTCGGTGATAAAACCTAATAAAAACCTTGTTTCCACGAGTCTCAGCTCTCTGTGTGTTTCTGGGGCACGGCCAGGAATCCCAAATTTCCCTCCCCACGGGGTTTTGTCAGGAGGGGCTCAGCGCTGGGGCCTTTTGGAACCCTAAAAATCAGAATAAAACCTCCAAGATCATCCAGTCTGGCATCACAATCAACCTTTCCTGCCCTGAGAAAGGTGGGATCAGCTCCTCTGTGAAGAGGAGAGCCCAAGATCCACCTGGACAATCCTCAGAGCCTGCAAACAAATTCTTTCATCTCCTGCTGTGGATTTAGCCAGAAAACACTCAGGAAGCTGGGCAGGATTTGTCCAGGCAGGAAAGGATGAGATTTTCCCACTTTTCAGCCCAGGTGGAACAATTTTGCCTGTCTGGGTGAGAGCCCTGCTGAGAGGCAGCTCACAAAGGCTTTAAAACAACCCCTGCTCCTTTCCCGAAGTGAAATAATTGGTCAGTAATTATTAACAATCAAGGCACAAAGAGGATTTCTTTTTTGTCTTCTCACACTTTATTTAGCCAGCCTGCACTACTCACTGAGCACTCACACTTTACAACACAGTGCAGGAAACCTCCACCCCACCCTCGCCCCACCACGTGTTCTTTGGTTAGGAAAAAAAAAAAAAAAAAGGCTTTTAAAAAATTCACCATCCAAAGAGCAAAAAAGGTCAGCCTAGCTGCACTCCAGAACATGTTACACCAGCCCAAGGCCTGCACAGGCCCAGGACACAAATATGGCTTTCATTGGAATTATTTTTTTTCAAGTAATTCATCTACAGAAGAGCTTAAACTAAACTTCCAGCGCTGAGGAAGAAATTGGGAATGCCAGGATTTGGAGAACAGAAACACTGAGGTGAACATCCCATGGGATTGCTGGGATTGCCAGGATCCCCAGCAGCTCCTGCAGGAGCTGGGCTGGCTCAGGAGGGTGGATAATCCCAGCTCAAACACAAACAGGAGTGTGGATAATCCCAGCTCAAACACTGAACAGGAGTGTGGAAATCCCAGTTTGAACAGAAAGCAGGAGGAGTTTGAATAATCCTAGCTCAAACACAAAGCAGGAGAAGTTTGGATATTCCCATCCCTAACAGAAAGCACAAGGAGTGAGGATAATCCCAGTCTGAACAGAAAGCAGGAGTGTGGATAATCTCAGTCCAAAGAGAAAGCAGGAGGAGTTTGAATAATCCCAGATCAGCCAAGCTTCCAATAAATACCTGTGACCTGCAAGTGGGGAAAAGCCCCACGTGCGAGACAATAAATAAAAAATATTGCATTTTCTATCGGCCTGTTTGGGAGTCAGTCTGGAATGTCGTGGGTTGGAGAGGCCCTGGCTAGGCCTGGCTCTGAGAGGCACTTCGCTAGGCCTGGCTCAAGGGCCCCTTTTGTTAGGCCCTGCTCTGTGGGGCCCTGTTAGGCCTAGCTCAAGGGCCCCTGGCCAGCCCTACCTTCTGAGGGGCCCCTGGCTAGGCACGGCTCTAGGGGCCCCCTGGCTAGGCCCGGCTCCGGGGCCCCCCGCCTAGGCCGGCAGAGCCTCGAGCTGTTTGGGTTTCAGCAGCTGCTTGGCAGCGATGATGGTGTTCTTCATCAGCATGGCCACCGTCATGGGCCCCACACCGCCCGGCACTGGCGTGATGTAACTCGCCTTCTTCCTCACCCCTGAGGGGAAAAGCTCGGCTTAAGGGCCAGACCAGGCCTCCTAGCCTAAAGCCACGCAGGTTGTGTCAGGATTAACGCTTTAAGAACAGGGCCCAGGTGGGTTTTTGTTGGCCAGGGGGGCACGGCCCAGTGAGTCCAGCCTGGGTGTGAAAGGAGCTTAACTAAAAGGCCAAGGTGGGGAAAGGCACCAAGCCAGGCCTGGAAGCACGAGGGTCCAAAACACCAAAAAGCCAGGCCTAAAAGCACAAGGGTCCAAAACAGAAAAAAGGTCTAAAAGTGTCAAAAAGCAAGGCCTAAAAGTGCCCCAGAAAGCTGGGCCTAGAAGCACCAAAAAGCCAGGCCTGGAAGCAAGAGGGTCCAAACAGCAAAAAGCCGGGTCTAAAAGCACCAAAAAGCTGGGCTCAAAAGCACTACACTCTGAAAACACCAAAAGTCAGGCCATAAGGTACCAAAAAAGCTGGGCCTAAAAGCACAAGTAGGGAGGCCCAAAAGCACACAAAGCCAGACCTGGGAGCCCCAAAAGCACCAAAAAGCTGGGCCAGGAAGCACTAAAAAGCCAGGCCTAAAAGCCGATTTCTAGCACAGAAATGTCAAATCCAAGAGCAGGGCTGGAGCAGAGGTCAGGACTCAAACACTGAGGCTCAGAAGGCTCCTCTGGAGTGTCCCCATGGGATATCCCTGAGCTCAGTGACATGATCCAGGCTTTGTCCCTCCTCCCCAGAGCCCAAAAAAAGGATCCAGAGCTTTTCCTCACCTTCAAAATCCACGTCCCCCACCAGGCGGGGCTTGGCCGTGACAGGATCCTGCACCCTGGTGATACCCACGTCGATCACAGCCGCCCCCTCCTTGATCATGTCGGCCGTGATCAGGTTGGGGATGCCTGGAAAACACGGCCACGGCTCAGAGAGGCTCGGCCTCCACATGGAAAACACGGCCACGGCTCAGGGAGGCTCGTCCTCCACATGGAAAACACGGCCACGGCTCAGGGAGGCTCGTCCTCCACCTGATCCCAATGTTCCCAGGATGTTCCAACCCACCCGAGCTTTCCAAAGAATGGGATTCAGGAGTTTAAAGGCTTTTTTTCCAACCTAAACCATCCTAAGAAATGCAGATTTACCCCTGATCCCAATGTTCTCAGGTTTTTCCAACCCACCTGGGCTTTCCTCTTTCCCAAAAAAATGGGATTCAGGTGTCTCAAGGGTTTTTTTCCTACCTAAACCATCCTAAGAAATGCAAATCTACCCTGATCCCAATGCTCCCAGGATGTTCCAACCTACCCAGGCCTTCCTGCTTCCCAAAATAATTTGGATTCTAGAATCTCAAGGGTATTTTCCAACCTAAACCATCCTAAGAAATACAAATCTGCCCCTTTGATCCCTCTCATCCCAATGTTTCAAGGGTGTTCCAACCCACCTCCACCTTGCTGCTTCCCAAAATAACCTGGATTCAAGAATCTTAAGGGGTTTCTTCTAACCTAAACCATCCTAAGAAACACAAATCTCCCCTCGATGGCACAACCAGCCGCTGGTGTTCAGCCCAGATGTTCCAGCTGCAAGAGGGGAAATCTCAGTTGGATTTCTGGAAAAAATCTCTCCCTGGGAGAGGAGCAGTAGCTGCCCCATCCCTGGAAGTGTCCAAGGCCAGGCTGGCCAGGGCTGATCTGGTGGGAAGCGTGCAGGGGGTTGGAACAAGATGACCTTTAAGGTCCTTGCAGCCCAAATTCCATGATTTTGTGTTCCCTGATAATCTCTGAGCACAGAACAGGAATCCTGCTCAGGGAGTTCTGGCAGAGCAGCCAGGACCTGACACCCTCTGCAAGGGAAAACCTTCCAGTGTTTCACCTCTGTGGCTCTTTGTTGCATTTTCCACCCATACTGAGGCAGGAGGAGCTGGGGCAGTGCCCAAATCCACCCCAGCCCAGCTGAGCTCAGCTTTAGTTGGGCCAGGAAGGGAGGAAGGGAGGGCTGGGAGAAACTTCCTGGGGCTAAGCCAGCGTTTCAGGGTGGGATGAGGGTCTGGTTCTGCCAGATATGGGGGGATCCACTTCCAGCCTGGCTTTATCTCTGTCCCTGGAGCCTCCCCCTGCGCTGCTCACACCCCACCCCTGCCCAGAGCCTCCCCCAGCACTCTCCATCCATACTCCATATTTCCAGCCCACATTTCCAGCTGGCCCAGGGGGGTTTGGGGTGGGTTCTGGGAAAGGTTCTGCCCCCAGAGGGTGCTGGGCACTTTCCAGGGAATGGACACAGCGCCAAGGCTGCCAGAGCTCCAGGAATGTTTGGATTTTGGGGTGTCTGTGCAGGGCTCCAGGGTGGGAATTTGGGGTGTTTGTGCAGGGCTGGACAGGGTGGGAATTTGGGGTGTCTGTGCAGGGCCAGGGCTGGATCCACGATCCTGATGGGTTCCCTCCCACCCCAGCCCATTCCACGACTCCCCCTGGCTGTTCAGGGTGGGATCAGCTGCTCCCTGCCAGCTGCTGTTTCAAAGGCAGAACCCCAAACTGGGGACACCAAAACCTTTTCTGCTCCACCACAGGAGATCCCAAAGAGCCCTGAGAGCCCCTCAGAGAGCCCCCAGGACATTTCATAGCCAGCATTCCCAGCAAAAACCTCGCCCCCAGCCCTGCTGAGCCCCCCGACCTGCAGCTGCCACCACGATATCAGCACGGATCGTGTGCTGCTTCAGCTGCTCCTTAGGCGTGTAGCGGTGCGAGATCGTCACCGTGGCGTCGCCTGCGGGGACAAGGGACAGCAACTCACACACAGCTCCCACACCCAGACACTGCTCTGCATCTTTGAATCGTGACTTTAGAGTTAAGATTGCAGCTGAAGGTTAGAAGCCATCCCTATCGGTAAGTTAGATAAACAAATGATAGGTTAATAATTATTAAGGCTTGAGATAAGGGAGGTATTGTTTCCCATTATGAGCTTGTTTCAGTTTTGTTTATAGAAAAGAATTATAAGGACAAATTGAAACCAGTAGAACAATGGCCAGCACCTGGACTTATAACAATCCATAAGCAGGGGACCTTGGATTGTGCCAGAGGGTCACAGAAACCTGATGACTTCCCTTACTTCATCTTTCAAGACCACTGACCCAATTCAAGAGAACTGTGCACATGTGAAGGACTATTGGCTTCATTTTAACATAGAGCAGGGATGGGAGTTGCTGGGACTATGCAAATGTGTGGAATGTAAGACTTTGGGAAATAAACAGAGGGCAAGGAACCCTGTAGGGGCTGCCGTATTTCTAAGAGATTACCCCCTAGAGTGTCTTAATAAACATACCACTTTCTAACTTTGATTAGTTTGAGAGTCTTTGTCCATGAACATATCTGTTTTAATGACTCATCTTCACCTTCAAGGCCACCCCTGTGCTCCTCAGGAACATCAGGGGCTGCTGGTGAACCCCAGGGTCAGCCTTTGGAGGGAGAGGCAGGGATTTGGGGTGGGACACGACAAGGAGTTGCTGGAGGAGGCTCGGGGGGCCCTTCTGGCTCTCCACAACTCCACAATGACAGGAAAGGACAGCCAGGACAGGGTCAGGCTCTCAGGGAACAGAGACAGCCTCCAGCTGTGCCAGGAGAGGTTTAGATTGGATATCAGGAAAAAAAATCCATCATGGAAAGGTTGTAAAATATTGGAAGAGGCCACCCAGGGGAAGGGAGGAGGCACCAGGCCTGGAAGGGTTCACACCACGTGTGGATGTGGCATATGAAGGCGTGGGCTGGTGGTGCCCGTGGCTGAGTGACAGCTGGATTTCACGACCTTGGAGACCTTTTCCAACCTGAACAACCCTGTGATTCTAAGATCATGTCCAGGATTATTTCACCCTGGGCCAGATCCCTGACCAGGGAACTGCTGAGAGTGCTTCAGGAGGCTGAAGAGAGTGGGCAGGGTCCCTGCCCGAGTCCAGCCCGCTCCTACCTCCGGGGCGCTCGTGGTTGCCGTCGGTGTGGAGCAGCATCGCGATCGGCATCCCCACGTTCTTGGACCTGCCCGCCACCACCACGTTCCTGCCCAGCGTGGGGATCCCTGCAGGGGACAAATCACACGGTCACAGCCTGTCCTGAGCTGGGAGGGACCTGGAACGATTGCTGATCCAGCCCCTGGCCCTGCAAACACCCCAAATTCCCACCCTGTGAGCCCTGCAGAGACACCCCAAATTCCCACCCTGTCCCCGCCTACACAGACACCTCAAAATCCAAATGTTCCTGGAGCTCTGGCAGCCTCGGGCCGTGCCCATTCCCTGGGCAGTGCCCAGCACCCTCTGGGGGCAGAACCTTTCCCAAAACCCACCCCAAACCCCCCTGGCTCAGCTCCAGCTGTTCCCTGGGTGCTGTCCCTGTCACACAGAGCTCAGGTGTCACCCCTGTCACCAATCACGCCCGACCTTTGAACTCTCCAGCTAGGAATCATTCAACTCAAGCAGGAAGTCCCAGGAACCAGCCAAACTCTGCAGCATTTGCTCTCAACCTAAGCTGGAACGCCCAGGAACCAGCCAAACTCTGCAAGATTTCCTTTCACCCAAGCAGCAGTTCCCAGGAATCAAACTCTGCAGCATGTGCTCTCACCCAAGCAAGAATTACCAGGAACCAGCCAAACTGTGCAGGATTTGCTCTCACCTGTCCTCTGGATGATCTCCCAGACACCCCAGGGCGTGGCTGGCAGCATGGAGTCCTGGTCCAGGCACATGCGGCCCACGTTGAGCACGTGGAACCCGTCCACGTCCTTGTGGGGGCTCACGGCGTTGCACACCCGGCGCTCGTCGATGTGATCTGCAGAGGGCAGGGAGCTCTCAGGGACCAGCTGTGCTCCAACTGTGCCCTGCAGCTCTGAGCCTCAGTTGCAACAGGGACCCTGAGCCCTGGGATGGAGCTCTGACCCCAAACTGGAGCTCGGACCCTGAGCCTTGAGCTGGAATTGTGAACCCAAACTGGAGCTCAGACCCTGAGCCCAGGCTGTGAGTTCAAACTGGAATTGCGACCTCAAACTGGAGCTCTAACCCAGACCCTTGAGCTTGAATTGTGACCTCAAACGGTAATTGTGACCCCAAATTAGAGCTCTGATCCCCAGCCCTGAGCTGGCATTTTGATGCTGAGCGCAAGCTGTGACCTTAAACTGCAACACTGACCCTCAGCACTGAGCTGAAATTATGACCTCAAACAGGAATTGTGACCTCAGCCATGAACTGAAATTATGACATCAAACTAGAACTGTGACCTCAAACTGGAGCTCTGATCCTCAGCCTTGAGCTGGAATTGTGACTCCGAATGGGAGCTCTGACCTCAAGCAAGAACTGTTATCCCAAACTGGAATTGTGACCCCAGTCTGGAGCACTGACCCTGACTCTTAAATTGGAATTTTGTCCCTGAGCCCAAGTTGTGAATCTGACTCCTGAGCTAGAACTGTGACCTCAAACTGGAATTGTGATTCCAAACTAGAATTGGGACCTGAAACTGAAGCTCTGACCCCCAGCCTTGTGCTGCAATTGTGACCCCAAACTGGAGATCTGACTCCAGCTCCTGAGCTGAAAATGCAACCCTGAGCTGGAATTATGATCCCGAGCCCTGAGCTGCACTTGTGACCCTGAGCCAGAGCTCTGACCCTGGAGCCCCTTCAGAGCTCCGGGCCTGAAGCTCCCCAGCACTCCCAGTTGCAGGCTGCCAGCTCCCAGGGCAGGGCACTGCAAACACTCTGCAATCCCAGCCCTGCCCACAGCCAAAGGATTTCCAGACAGCCCCAAGGCCTCCCCCAGCTCCAACTCCCAGCCAGGAATCGATTCCATGGCCCGCAGAGACAGAACCCTGCAGGCAGCTGGTGCTGAGGGGGACGATCAGGGCAGGATCCCCCTCCGTGCTCCCCATCCTGCAAGCCTTGGCAGCGTTCTGGGAATGCAGCAGGGGGCAACTGAGCTGCTCACCAGGCAGGGGAAGCTGCACCAGCAGCCCGTCCACGGCTGCATCGCTGTTGAGTTTGCCCAGGAGCTCCAGCAGCTCCTCCTCGCTGATGGAGGCCGGCCTGAGGATGGTCTCGCTGCTGATCCCTGCACCCGCCACAGCCACGGCGTCAGGCAGCCACAAAAGGCCGATCCTGCCACGGTTTGTGCATTTCAACCGCCCCGGTTCGCTGCCTGCCTGAACGGGGGAGGAGCACGCCGAGCATGGAAGGCTTTGTGCAGCTCGCAGGCTGGAAACACCTTCACAAGTCTGGGGATTTGTTGTGGAGGATGATTACGAGGGGCTGCAGCAAGGGGTGTTTGGGACCCTCCCAGAGCAGGGAGAAACCCAAGCAAAGGCTGCTCCCAAAACAATAAAACCACAGGGCCTGAGAGGCCTCTGGACACGGTAAAAAAGGGATGTTTGCCTAAAAATGGCAGCTCCAAAAGCAGCTCCAGCTATTCAGGACCCGGGTTAAATGACACCATTGACTGCCCCTGACCCGGGCCTTGGATTGCAGGATGGGAAGGAGTCAGAGTGCAGAGAGGGAAAAGATGGGAAAAGGAGGCCAAAAATCCCCTCCTGTACTTTTTATGGCTCTGGGAGAGCTGAAAAACCCCAGTCACAGAGCTGGAGTTGCCCCGAAGGATCCAACTGATCACATTTAAAAACACCCCAGTACAAGTGGGCAGCCACAAGAACCCAAATTCTGGGTGAAGCTGAAAAGCCAACAGGTGGGTACATCCCAAAAAGCTTCCAGCATCGAGGATTCCCAACCACACCACGCGTTTTTGGGCAGGAAAGCTCTCACTCACCCACATCAGCCGCTGCTTTAGTTTTGTTGAGGACGTAGGAGTGGCTGGCAGGGTTCTCCCCCACCAGCACCACGCTCAGGTGGGGCCTCCTGTTGCCCGCAGCCACCCACTGCTCCACCTCGTGCCGCGCTTCCTGCCGGATCTGCCGGGCCAGCTTCCTCCCCGAGATCACCACGGCATCCCCCCTGCAGCAGCACAGCGTCACCACAGCCCCGGGGCCACCAGCTGCCAGCCCCGGG